AGCTAATCACAAGGTAAGCAGCCTCTAACCTCATAAACATTCCTAGGGAGAAGCCGAGCCACCTCTAAATTACAGACAGCCTCTCCACTCTGTTCAAACAAATCTCCATCTGTGACTCACTCCTCAAAGTGGGGAGGGGGTAAACATAGCTGAGGGCTTAGAGATCAAGACGCTAAGGAGAAGTGATAGGGAGATAAACGGGGAGGCCCCAGAGGTTCTCACACCACAGGCTCATGTGAATAGGGGAAGGATCTATGGGAAAAATGTCTCCCCAGCTCCCGCTCCCTACACAGCGATGGGGGCCATGAAGACAGGATGGCAGCTGAGGGTCAAGGGTCTTTCTAAAAGGAAGTAAGGGAAGTGGAGATTGCCCCTGAGCTGGAAACCAGCATCCTTAACTTAGCCTCACCGTGTAACCTACTCCTCCATCATTCTGTCCCTCAGTCCTGTTCCCTCTCCCACCTGAAATGTGCATGGTCTCTCAAGCTGCTGCAGCAGCAGCCACCTCAGTCCTCCCCTTCTGAGAAATGGGACTAGCCAGTGCCTCGAAACAATGGTTCCCCAGAGACCACGATGAGAAAAGCAGTAAAGTCGAAGAGGCCAGATGCAGTGGTTTGAGGTCAACCGTCTCCTGGCTGAGACTCCCAACCATTCAGCTTGCTGGTCTCAGGTGCCCTTGGTCTGCAGGGCTCTTTAGGCCAGAGACGGCTCTTTGTTGAGTGTAGCACAAAGAATCATTCCTGCTCCTCCCCACAGATTAGCCAACAAACAGGTGTTTGCCTTTTGTCTGGCTCCCAGGCCCACAGGCACAGGCTGGACAAGTGGAGGGCTGACCAGAGTGACTGGGAGGTGAAATGAGAAAAAGGGATTTAGGGTGGCACCCTCAGTGGCACGGCCCTTCTCATTCCCTGGAGCGCTGGCACAGGACAACTCCGGGCCCTGGCAGTGGGGGTGTGTACACGTAGGGAGGTGGGCTCCTGAGTTCTCAGCTCTGAGGGAGACACCCTTTTGCTCAGCCATTCTCTCTTCACGAAGCCTACCTACCTAGTGCTCAGCCAGCCTGGAATGAGGGGGCCGTTCCCAAATGCACCCTCCCCTCTCTAGTCTCACCTTGCTTTGTAATTTTTGCTTCTGTGCCCCCAAACTCTGGAAGATCATTTCCTTTTCCTTTCTTTATTTAATCTATCTCCATCCCACCCTATATTTTTCTCTCCTCTTCCTGCCCCTGCTGGCCAGGCTTAAATCTGGGCCACCAGCTTCCCTGGCACATACCTGTTCCCTCAACTAAACCTCCCCACGCCTAGGAGACAAAGGTGTTTCACAAGACTCTACACGGTGACCCAAAGAGGCACATGCCATAATTACCAGCAGGCGAGGAAGCTCGTCCCACCTGCTCTGAGCACATGTGTCTGGAACCGAAACCATGTGGGTGCACAAATCACCCCACCACTCCCACCCCGGAGAAACATGGGCAAAAGCTGGTGCCAAGTGTCTGATGATTTGGTGAGCCTCTGATCCTAGGTCTTTCTGCAGAGCCCAGGATTCCCCCAAACTCCTGGCAGGCTTGGAGACATCAGCTGTGGTGCCCCTGAAGGTAAGAACTTGGCAATGAATGGGGGAGATGGAAGGGTGTGAGGAGGAATTTATGGGCTGAGCTTGTAGCAGGTCTCATGAGAAGCAGGAACAGGCAGTCACCAAGCTTCAATGGTTCTTCTATTCAGGAGTTCCCTCCCTATCCAGGCTTCACAGAGCCAGGGCTCCCACCATTTTGTGCAGGGGGGGGTGGAAATTAGAGGGTTTTTTTTAATGGAGGTACTGGGGACCCTGTGCATGCCAAGCACACACTCTACCACTGAGGTGTACCCTCTCCCCCTAGAATTCACTCATTCCTTTAGAGTAAGCATCAATGACTCCAGATGAAACCTCTTTTAAAAATGCAAATATTCTGACCCAGCAAGTCCAATCCTAGGTATTTCTTTCCAAGAGAAATTAAAGCATATGCCTACACAAAACTTGGAAACAAATGTTCACAGCACTATTATTCATAATATACAAAAAGTAGAAATCACCCAGAAGTCCACTAACATTTATTTATGATGAACATATGTCACAATATATCCATATGATGGAATATTATTCAGCCATAAAAAGGAATGAAATATTGATTCATGTTACAACATGGACCAACCTTAAAAACAGCACACTTACTGAAACAAGCCAGTCACAAAGGATCACATATGATTACGTTTTGATAGAATATTCCAAGCAGGCAAATCATAGAGAAAGAAAGTAAACTGGTAAGGTGAGGGGAGGGGTTGGAGGAAAATGGGGAGTGACTGCTAATGGGTCAGGATTTCTTTATGGGGTGACAAAATTGTTCTAAAATCAGTTGTGTTGATTACTACAACTCTTGAAATATACTACAAACCATTGAATTGTATACTTTAAATTATATCTCAGTAAAGCTTTTATAAAAAGAAAATGAAGCCTATAGTAAGCCTTCCATAAATCACAGCTTTAGTTTAAAAAAAAAAAAAAAGAGTGGGGCTCAGGAAAGACTTGGCATTAAACTAACTCAGATTCTGAGATCCCAAAGGAATGACATCTATTCCAGGGTAAAGACAAAGGTTCAGCCTACAGCTGATATAAAATTTCAAATCCATTCAGGCATTGAGAGAACCCCTCTGGCCTAGACTGACCAAGATTTTTAAAAAGTAGAGACAATTGACTGGAGTGAGTAAGAGCAAATACTCTAAGGACAGCACTGATTAGAATACTTAAAGGGAATCACCTTATCAGAGAGCCCAGAGCATCATGGAATACCAGCTGCCTTGGCCATGAGGTCAGAAAGAGGAGGAGGAGGAAATGAGCCCAGAGGGAGATGCTAAAGTATGAACCCTGACTAAGACAGTTCCGGCTGAGTTGGGACTAGCAAAGGTTACTCAGGTCTTCAACCAGGGTCTACCTATAGGTCCCTTCTCATCCTCAAGATCGCCCATTGGCAGAGGAAAGGGGAAAAGAACAGGTAAGAGCAAACATCAACATAATGACCAGACCAGAGAGTTCCCAGACTCTTTCTCCATCCCTCGACCAGGGGAAGTTAAAACAGTCTAGCCAGTGAGTGACACACAGAAGCAACAACTAACACTGAGCACTCACCAAGTGCCAGGCACTGTGCTTAATATTTCATATGCATTCCTCACAATAACCTTACGGAAAGGGTGCAATTATCACCCCCGTTTTACAGATGAGGAGACAGAGACTGAAGAGATGAAGTAATTTACCAAAGTGACCTTGGGCAAAGCAAACACTGAAGCCCTGACTATAGTTCACCGGGTCAGATTCCCAGAACTAGGCTCTTAATCACAAGGCTATTAAAAGAAATCCTAGTTTAGTCAAAAACTGTGTTGTAATCACACTGGGAAGATGGGAGAAGGAAAAGGGAGCATGTGAGGGGTGGGAGTATAAACTTTCCTATAATTCCTACAACCGGAAGGCAATGATGTCTACAACTGATAAATCAAGAAATACCACTATAAGCACACTATTTAGAAACATGGCAGTAAACTCTACAAAAGAGAGTTGAAAGTGGTAACTTCCAGGGGGCAGGACTTGGGTAGGGAATAGCTTACTTTTAAGGCCTTTTGATATTATGACCTCTTTTTAAAATCATGCACATACTCCTTTGATTAAAAAAATGACTATGTAAGAAAATCAGAGATCATTCAAATCAGAGTCTAATGTAGTGAACCTCTGTTGCTTTTGCCACACAGTTTCCATCCTCCTCCACTGATAACAGCACTTAGGTTTTGCTTTGGAGAATTTCCCTCCTTCACTGGGTAATCTGATGGGTCTGTCAATCAAGGAACCACAATCCGCCCTGGCCAAAGGGGCAGAGGGAACAAGGGGCCAATGACACCCTCTCCCTGGACTCTTAAGCAGAACGGCAAAAAGACCTAAAACAGCTGGAACCAATTCACCCAAAAGCAGAAGCCCTCCATCACTTTCTTCCACCTACCGAGGCCCCGGGACTGCCTCGGGTTGGACTTTTTAAACTTTCCCTTAAATTCTGTAAGCCGCCCATTTCCTTCTAATAAATTCCTCTCCTTAAGTTAGCTGGAGCCACTCTCTGTTGCTTAATGGGAATGTCCAATAAAAATGAGTTTGAGGGTAATTTGTGCTTTTATTTGCCAGTATAACTTACTATAGTGGCTTGCAAACTTTTTGGACCTAAAAAAAAGTATTTAACATCACAATCAAATAAACACACACATATATATAATATGTATACATATATATATATATATATATAACTGAAACAAAAGTTTTGCCCAAAATGTCTACCCTAACACTCTTAGAGTGTTAATTCTAGTTCTTTTTTTATTTTAGGACTTTTTTTTTTAGAGCAGTTTTAGGTTTACAACAAAATTGACAGGAAGGTACAGAACTCTCCCAAATACCCCCTCCCACACACATGCATAGCCATTATCAATATCATTCACCAGAATAGCTACTTTTTTTTTAACCAGGGATGAACAGATACTGACACGTCATAGTCACTCAAAGTCCACAGATCACCTTAGGGTTCATTCTAATGAAGTGAACAATGTTGTACGTTCAATGCGTTTGGACAAAAGAATGACATGTCCATCATTATAACATCATACAAAGTATTTTCACTGGCCTGAAAAAACTTCTATACTATGTACATTCATCTTCCCTCACACAACAAAATCCTGGCAACCACTGATCTTTTTACTGTCTCCATAGTTTTGCCTTTTCCAGAATGGCATATAGTTGGAATCCTTTCCTTCCTTTCTTTCTCTTGAAAAGAGAGGTTCAAAGTCTTCATGTCTATAAGACCATTCATGGCCCACCCATGCATGAATTGGACAGGCTCTAGATGACAAACTCTTCCACTAAAAACTACAGCTTTTCCTCTAACATCGAACCCTGCCTCACGGGTCCCGCACAGCAGCCACATGGAGGTGCAGGGGGACATAGGTAGGGTATTTGTTCACAGGAAGGGCGCATGTTTTGTGCCCCTTGTCACAATGAATCCAGATTCCTGTTCAGTGTGTTGTGAACAGAGGAGTCATTTCTTCAGGCTTCCTGCTCTGAGCACATCATCTACTTCTTTTTTAATGCTGGTTCTGACCCACTAAGTTGATGTCAGTAATTATGTGATTATGATCAGCAGTTTGAAAAACACTGGCTCCCTGTACCTGCCTCCAACAATAAAAGCAGCCCAGAGAATAAATTTGCCTTATTTCCATGTCCATGTTTGGTGCACTAAGGCACATGGCCTGGCTGGTGAAGAAATACCAACACAGTCCCAGGGTTCCAACACTCACTAGGACACACTAGTCAGTTAAAACTGTCTACACTGCTGACAAGGGAGAAACGTCCGATCGTTTATTTATTCACTCACTCAGCACATGTGCTGAGCACTTAGTCAATGGTGTGAATGTACCACAAGCTCCTGCGGAATGTCCAGAGCCATAAATTCTATCTGCTGGGTGGCTCAGAGGAGAGGAATCCAGAACAAAGCCTGTCTCCTGACTGATTGATTGTTTACCATCTCCTCCCCTCCCTTAAGAGCTCAGGAATGTCTCCAACACCAGATCTGTGCAATAGTTATTTCATCCCCACCTTTGAAGTAAAACAACTCTCAAGTCTAGCCTAGAAAGAAGGAATAAAAAGGAAGTTGTGTCTCCCCCTGTTCTACAGGTCTCTCATTATCAGCTTCAAACTAATCTATGGCTGGAGATTGTCTGAATTCTTCACTATTTTCCAATTCACTCTTTCTGCCCCCACCAGACAAGCAGAAAAACAGCAAAGGACAGAAGAAGGTGTCAGTTCATTCTCAGCATTGCCAGTGACTGGGATTTAAGACTTCTCTGGATCTCTTTTCTACAGCAAGCAAAAAGAAGCCCAAACACCCCTCTCCTTTATTTTCTTCATACCCTGTTCCTTGACTCAGTCATTCCAAAACAGTGAGCAAGCGCATGGAGTAGGACTTGTGGCTGACACAACAAAGAATGGATTCTTTCCATCTCTTCTGCGTCCCATAGCAGAGATCGGTAAGCTACAGAAGATGAGGGATGGGGAGAACTGAGTTTGGGCAGTAGCGTGACCTGTGTTGTAATGTGGTAGAAAAACTTCACAACCTGGGCAGAAATGGAGAGGGGACTGTGAACAGAATTAATTGATCATCTATATCCTAAACTTGAAATGATTAACTATTTCATAAATATTCTTTAAAGAGCCATAATCCAGGTGCAGATGGGTTAGCTCTGTCTCAAGGGCATGCTGAGACAGGAAGAGGGGAAGGGAACCAGACACAGAGTTGGGGGGTGGGTAAAGGGAGGGATAAAAACTTCCATTTCACTTTCCCCTACAACAGCTTGGAAATTGATGAAATAGTACACATCTATCCTAGGTTAAGTTCCCAAGCAGAGCCTAGAAATACTCAGCCACAAGTTACCCTCCTTTGCCTCTGGAGGAGAAAAAAAATCATACGGTCTGCTGCGGTGAGGAGAAAAGGGGCTGGGAGTCAAGGGAGTTAGGGGAGCAGGGCAGACGGGTCAGCCCTGGAGCAGACGCGTTAGCACTCCTCTCCCCTCACAATCACACTCCGTCCAAAAGCCCTCGCGTAGGTCACTTGCCTCACCTTCTCAGCCCTGGTTCTGGCATTCCCTCCATCCGCTTGCCCTGAGCTTGGAGGCTAGAGACGGAAGCAAAACCAACAAAACGTCCCAGGAAGCTATCGGTTGGCCGATGAGGGGAGGGGAGCAGAACTGAACGCGGGCAAGAGGAGAAATCCGAACAGAGAGGTTACCCTCAAAAAGACAGCCCTATCCCTCCTAACGAAAGGCAAGAGTCCCCGGCCAACCTCGGCGTACTTGGATTTCTACCGCCCCCATCCTTCAGTCCAGGCCCTAGGGTTTCACTCCCTATCCTTTGTCTTGCTACTGATCACCCAAAGCACCATGACGTTCTTTGAAGGACCTCTGAGGTCACCAGGACCCACAGAAAAGCCTAACCCCCCTCGTCGGGAACCGAAGTCCAAATGAACGCAGGAGTCCCGTCCTCGGGGCTCCCTCTTCGACGACCCAACTAGCTGCCCACAGGGAGCCCGAGCAGCACGCACTGGAGACCCGCGCCGAGTCCCGGGCGGGAGCCGCAGTGTCCTCTCGAAGGGCAGGGACGCCCCGAGTTCTCGAGCCTCAAAAGAGTCTGCATGCGCGACTCCCCAGGACTCCCACTGCCTGCCGCGAGGCGGCGGAAAGAGCGAAGCGCCGGGAGGCGCTGACCACACCGAGCGCAGGGCCAGGTGATGTCAGGGAACTCGCGTGCGGCACGGGAGAGGCGGAATTGGAAACCGAGAATACCGAGGGAGGGCGGCGGCGCGGCCGCTTTTCCTTACCGCGGTCTGCCCCTCCGGGTGCACGCCCACCAGGGTACACCAGTTACGCGTCCCGTTCATCTTCTTCCGCAGGGGTCGCAACACAGAGACCAAACCTCGGCCCTGCGGTCCGGCTCTTACTAGGCGGCCGCGCGCCGAACTGCCCGCTTGTATAGGCGCGTCAGGGGTGGGGCTGGCAATAGGACACGCCCCCAGGACGCCGCTCGCCAACAAACGGGAGCAAAAGGGCGACGTGGGCGTGGCCTGATAGCTTCAGATCACGCCCATCTGCTTTCGCTCAGATTTACCTAAAGGTGGGGCTTGGAAGCTACTTAACCGCTTAAGTGAAGTTTTGCCTAGTTAAATGATTGTACCTCAAACATTAGTCTTGCCCTCTCCTTTCAACTACAAGACCAGTGTTCGTAAGAGAGAAGCACCGTGCCAGCCTCTGGAGGATGAGGCGTTGGAAAAAGCTTCCATACATTTTCCTCTCCCTATATATAGGCCAGCCTGTAGGCTTTGTGGAGCTGAGCAAACCTTTCCTCTACCATATAGATCCAGGGCCAGCTCACTCAGACTGGCCTAAGCCAGTCTGGCAAGTGCGCTTCCCTGGCAGGAGGCCCAGGCCAAAGTCAAAGCCAGCTTGACTCTGGGTGGGGCTTGTTTTGCAGAAGCTTTTATACCAAAGCTGTCCTTACATGGATGGGAGAGGCGGGACACATTGCCTTAAAAGGAATTTGCATCCTTGAGAAAGGATGAACGTCAACTTCTCCAAAAGCATTTGCTCCCCTAGCCCAGGTTAGCATCTTAAGGGCCTAGCATGGTTTAGCATGGCCTTAGAGCCTCTTCCAGCAGTTTGCTCTCCGCAGATAGCCCCTCCACTGGGCTGTGGTCCACATGGATATCAGACAGGAGGAGGTCTGACCCCCTGTTGAGTGGGCAGAACCCCTGAATCTGGCAATAGGCTCTGGTAAACAGCTAGCTCCCTCTTCGAGGCAACACAAGGGCAGGGATCACAGAAACTTCCCTACCTCCCATGTGGGGCTGGGTCCCATGCCAGGTAGGAATGGATGGGTATCTTTGTGCCTGGGAGGTGAATGCTGGGGATATCCTAATGCCCCAAGGGAATAAAACCCAATTCTGATCTGTCTCATCTAACCCTCAAAGAAGGCATTTATTGGCCTTGTTATTTCCAGAAGTTTGTTCAGCAGAGAAATGGAACTTCCCTAGGTTCCATCTGAGCTATCGTAAAAGGCCTCTAAAAAGTGAGGTGAGCCAACCCCCAGCTTCAGCCTCTAAGTTGTACAGTGAAATGGTTTCTTCATAAAATTTAGACTTCCAAATAAGTCAGGGAAAAGAATGAGAAGACAAGCCAAGGATTTCAGTATAGATATATAATTTTAATATTTAATTTAAAATAAATTCAATGCTGGGTTGGATTGGGAGAGAATATATGATTTGCAGAATAGAGGATTTTTTTTTTAATCATGATATTACAGGTCATTGGTGAGAACAGGCTTCTCGCTCCTCTAGGCTCCTTACGGAGCCTGCTTAGGAAATAAGAGAGGTGAATCATCTCCCTTACCTCCTCCCCACCAGAACTTGGCTCTCCCCAAATCCTCAAAGAGGAATAAGTCCTCCATTGCCTCTTCCCATTTCTACCACGAGTCAGCCTCTAGCCCCTCTGGGTCAGGAAGCTCTGTATCAGGTCCAAGCTCCTGAGATAACTGAGGTTCCCTCAGTTCCCTACTGAGGCTGCACACATCTTGTCAGAGAAGCCACAAGTAAGGCCACAGAGACCAAAATATTTGCTTTTCGAACTTGTGTAGACAGTTCTCAGGGTTCCCAGGTGCAACCACCCTATAAACACATCCATAGTCACAGAGAAAGAGGAAGGATGGAAACCCTGAGCAGAACCAGGCCCCAGCACCCTATCACTGCCCTACCAAAGTCCCTCTCACAAGGGCTCATAGGCAGAGAAGCTCTCTCGACCACCCACTGGGGCAGCAGGGAAAGCTGAGGGCCACGGCTGGGGAAAGGGTAGTCCTTGGAGAGGTATTATTGTGCAGGTATAAAAGGCAAGAAGAGCATCCTTACCTCCTCACCCTGGCTAAGGCACTGAGAAGAAAGAAGGAATGTAGAGATGGTGAATATGGGAAGGGGAGGAGACAGGGTCCCTTGGATCCTGGCCTGGGGAAGACAAAAAATACAGGAATGTAGACAGGTGGGGACTACTACAAGGGCCCCATGGCTGTGGAAAGAAGAGCATCTGAGAAGTGGGTAGAGCCACGCCAGCATGTCCATTACCCATAACGTCGCCCTTCCCCTGCTCCAGAATGGGAGGAAAATGAGCTGCAGGAGTCAAGGGAGCAGAATCACATAGGGTGTTTCCCTGAGCCTGGGGTTAAGGGCTAAAGAAATAAAGCTTTATATACATGGCAATTTTTATTCCTTCCTATCCTGCTTAACCCCCCTCAGCCATATGCTGACCAACTTGCTGCTATGAGGGAGCAGAGGGAGGAGTCGGCACTTAAGGAGAGGGCTCGGTTGGCATAAAATGCCCATTCCTCCAGAGGAAGGGGAAAGTCCGTCCACCAGCTTAGCATTTATCACCATCACTCACAACCTTCCCTCTCTTAGGTCTCAATGACTGAGTCCCCCACAGGAATGAGGAATCCGAGGCTAGGCAGGGCAGGGCAGGGCTGGCCAGGATAGGCCTCAAGAGTGGTTTCTGAGCCCTCGTGGACCACGAGCTAACAAGAGCTGGTCTGCAGGTTGCTCTCCGTAAGCAGAGATGCGATGGAGGAAGGATCGTAGACACCGTCAAATTCCTCATCTGAGCTCAGCCCTTCATGTTGCAGAGTTGACTCAGCAGCTGAGCGGGAAGCTTTACGCCTAAGTCAAAGAGAGGAATACTGGTAAGGGAAGGAGACAGAAAGATTTAAACAGCCTCCCTTTCCATACTAAGGGAACTCTCAGTTTTCTAAGACCTAAAGCTACTCACAAGACTCCCCCACTAACCAAAGATTTGGAGAGATGGGGTACAGGATGGGGGCTGAAATGCTAAAAGATCATCAAACTGGCTTTCAGCCAGGAATGAGTGATTGCAAAGTCTCATCTTAGAAAGCCTCCCTCTACCCAGCTCAGGAGAGCCCATTCCCTTCTCTCTCTACCATCCCGATGGAGCAGGGGGCAGAAGGGCAGCCCATACCAGGAGTCCTTCTCCAGGGCTTTGATCCGGGCCTGGAGCTGTTCATTGACCTCATGCTGCTCCTCCAGCTCGCGCTGGGCCTTCTTCCTCAGGCCATCCAGTCGCTCAATTTCCTCTTCTGCTTCATCCACCTGCCGCTTCAAAGCCTTCACCCTCAGGCTTAGCTAGACAGGATACCAAGTTCCCACATTAGAAAAGGAGCTGCTGCAACCATGGCCTGGGACCTTCTCCCCTGTAGCAATCTTGACAAGGGATAGGTGCCCCTAGAAAAATGTGACCATAGGCAAGCTCCCTAGCCTCACAGGTTTGTCTTGGGGATTCAATGAGTTAATACATCTCTTGGAAAGAGAGCCTAGCATATCATAAGCACTCAATACATGTGCTTAGCATGGCTGCTCTAATCCAGGCCTTTCACCCTAGCCTTTCTGTCTTTATAGAAGGAAAGTCTAAGTTTAGAAGACTTGTGAGATGGGGCCTCCCCTGGCCTTCAAGCAAATGCATAGTTCACATTTGCCACGTGGTTGCTTGGTACCTGGTCTTTCTGGTCATTGACGTGCTGCCGCTCATCGTCAATCTGGATGGACAGCTCTTTAACTCTCCGCTCCAGCTTTCGGTTGGTGGACTGCAGGGCTGTCTTCTCCCTAAAAGGGTAGGGTAGGGGGATGTCTACAGCTGTTGCCATTTCTAAAGGGACCTCTGCTTGGCCCCCTACTGGACTCGGGAGGATCCAGGACAGAGCCAAAGAACCGGGAAGACAGGGGTCATTCACATTTCAGAATTTCTGCAACTCCCTCTTCTCCGTATCAGGAGAAGAGGTCTCTGGAAAAGTCAAGCCTCGTTGGCCACATCTGAGGCAGAAGATGGAGGGAGACCAGAGGAGAAAAGCCCTGGAGGAGAGAGGGAGGATGGGCTGGAGTCACCTCTCTTCAGCCTGCAGCCGCTCCTGCAACTCCCGATTCTGGGACTCAAGCTGAGAGAGGCTGGCACTGGGTTTCTGGAAGCCTTCTGAGCTGGCCAACCGGCTTTTCAAGTCCTTGTTCTGAGAGGGAAAGGAAGCCTCATTGGTTAGCACTCCACCTCTGATGGCTTCCATTGTCATTTTACCCACCTCCTGGGGTCCATCCCCAAGACTCCCCACCCCTCCCCTTACCTGTCTTTCTAAGGAGATTTTGTCACACTCCAGGTCCTGCCGAGCAGACCTCTCCTGCATGAGCTCTGTCCTCAGCTGGTCCACCTAGTGGGGGTGGGCGAGAGGAACCAGATGTGGGGAGGACCAGTGATGAACCAGCAAGCTGAACCAAGTGGGGAAGAGTAACTGGAAAGCGCTCTCGGAATCCCCCAAATGCCCAGGCAACTAAGAAATCACAGCCTAAGTGAGGAGCCACAGAATTTAAGCAGGGCCTCCTCAGTCTCACCAGGAACTAGCATCCCTTCTGAATGGAAGCAGCCCAGACTCGGGTCAGTAGCCCAGGCCACCAGGATTCCTTCTTCCACTCAAATTCCTGGCTTCTTTCCACCCAAGGAAACCCTGTAACCCTTCCCAAGGCAGATGAAAACGTGCAGTGGAGCCAGCCATGCACCGGTTCTGCAGCCAGAACTCGCCAGGTATGAAAGATGGGAGAGCAGGATTATTTTTGAAACGGCCAGGGGGTTCTGCAGTCAGGGGTAGACATAGGTGAGGGGTGAGGAAGGGGCCACCTGGTCCCGGCCACGATTCATTCGTTCCGTCAGCAGCTCCACAGTGCTTCTCTCCTCATCTAACTCCACCTCCAGCCTTGAGACTTTTTCCTGTGGCAGAGGGACAACAGGTTAATTCTGCCCCAAATGCTAGACACCAGAAAGCCAGACTCTGACCAGGACCCTCTCAAACCCCAGCCTCCAGACTTTTCTCTCATATCCCAGAACCTGCTGGTCCCTGATGCAGCCCAGAGCCACCAGGGAGCTGGCGCCCTCTGCTGACCAAGTG